TCTGACAGTAATTTGTATGAATTTTATGAGCTAAAACAAATATCTTCAGTTAATAAAAAAAATAATAATTCTTCACACGGTAACAGATGGTCGGTTGGTCCTCCTCCCCCCACCCCCACCAACCGTCCCAAGGAGATGTGGGATAACCACTAAATTTTAATAAATAATACCTCAAACTAAAGTTAGGATAATATAATTGACATTGCTGGATTCCTTGTAAGACCAGGAATATTTTGAATATAAATGTCATATATTTTTGGACAAAAGATACCATAGTTACCTAGAAAATTTTTATCTAAAAATTGTAAGTTTAAAGCAAAATATATGATGTTTATATTCAAAATGATCACCAAATTATAAGAATTCCAGCAATGTAAATTATATTCTGGCCTAGTAATTTGTGAATTTATGAGCTAAAACAGGCAGTCAGGCAGGGTGGCGGGTGGGGCAAATCTAAAAATAGCGTCTCGGACACTCACCGCGTATATGTGGAAAAACCGCGTTAAGTGAAAGTTCAGCTTTGGCAAGGCACGGCGTATATGCGCTAGCGTTAAGTGAAAGGCGTTAAGCGAGGTAAAACTGTATATATATATATATATATATATATATATATATATATATATATATATATATATATATATATATATATATATATATATATCTGTGATTCCGCCAGAGCTGAACTTTCACTTAACACGGATTTTCCATATACGCGATGTCCGCTTCAACGCTATTTTTGAGCCCCCGCCACCCTGCCTCACTGCCTGTTTTACTCATAAAATTCATACAAATACCGGCGAAATATAATTTACATTGCTGGAATTCTTATAATTTTGATCAAAACATCATATATTTTGCATTACTGCCTAAAATTTTAGATAAAATTTTCTCTCTGGGTAACTATGTTATCTTTGTGCAAAAATATGACATTTATATTCAAAATATTCGTCTTAAAATCCAGCAATTCAATTGTATTATCTAACTTTAGTTTGGTATTATTTATTAAAATTAGTGGTTTTCCCCAAAATTTCTCAAAAGTGGAGTTTGGGGTCAGGCGGTTTCTATTGAATTAATCCCATATGTTCTGTTGTTCACTTAACACGGGACCCTCTGGGTTCTTTGGACGCGTTAAGTGGGGTACAACTGTGTGTGTATATGTATATATATATATATATATATATATATATATATATATATATATATATATATATATATATATATATATATATATATGTATATGTATATGTATATGTATATGTATATATATATATATATATATATATATATATATATATATATATATATATATGTATATGTATATGTATATATATATATATATATATATATATATATATATATATATATATATATATATATATATATATATATATATATATATATATATATATATATATATATATATATATATATATATTTCATAGATCAACAATGAAAACGTGGATAAGATAAATCTTGATAAAATCACATGGGAAAAGGGAAACAACGGAGCACCTTAGCTTTCTTCTTTATTGAAGACATCTTCAGAGGCAACTAGATTACATGGACAGAGAGAGGCTTAAATATACAGGGTGACCTTAAAAACATGAGGTCAGGTCATAATGATGTCATCCACTAATCCCCACACCACCACACACGTGGAGGAGCTTAAGAGAAGGGGGGTGACGTGACTAGTCAGGTCAGGTCAAAAATAAGGGACCCACTAAATAACTATCTAGATGTATGATAGTGGGTCATCAATGTTGCTTTCTTCAGACAGGTTAATATACAGGGAAAACTTGCTGGTTGTAGGTATTGGATCATCTTGAGGGATTGAAGAGGCAGCACTGGTGGAGTGTGAGGAGACAGCAATGGGGGACTTCTTAAAATAGATGTCCAATTTAGACTGCACAGTTTGCTTTTTCTTTTCATTATAAATTTCCCTGTAGCAAGCAAGTGCATCTTGGACCATTCTGTCAACTTTGGCAAAACGCTCAACATTTTGATCCATTCCGTCAAACATTTGCATTCCCTTAATAATTGTAGCAAATACCTCTGCCATTTGCTTCACTGAAAAATTTTTGGGGGGTGCAGGTGTCCTTCTACATTTCGACTGGCTTCTTCCTCTTCATTTTTGTGTGCTTCCAGCTCGATAAGATCCTTGTTACTTAGCTCTTCTGCTACACTTTCAACCAACTGTTCAACATCTTCATTATCAATTTCTAACTGAAGCTGTTTACCTAACTCCACTGTTTTGTTACTAATCTCAGAAATAAATTCATTTTCATTAAATCCTCTGAAACTGTTCACATATCTTTTCAGTATTTTCTTCCATATTCCATTCATGCACTGTTGTGTAACCTCATCCCATGCTGCAATAATGTTCTTTATACATGTCAAAATGTTGTACTTCTTCCAAAACTGTTTGAGCATTTTCTCACCTTCAGTAGCAGCAACAGCCTGAACAAAGGTCGTATGTAAATAATTTGCTTTAAACGCTGCAATAGCACCTTGATCCATGGGTTGGATGATTGAGGTAGTGTTAGGTGGAATGTAGACTGCCTTAACATCAGGTTGCATGTTGTCCTGGTGTGGTGGGTGTCCGGCAGCATTATCCAAAATTACAAAATCTTGAATGCAATCCCTTGTTGCAGACAATACCCCTTGGCTCCTGGAATGAAACAAGTCATGAACCAATCCGCAAACTGTGCTAGGGTCATCCATGCTTTCTTGTTACTGCGAGAAAGCACTGGCAGTGTGTGCTTGCTGACATTATTAAAAGCCATGAGTTCTCTGAATGAGAGATCATGAAGGGCTTGATCTTGACACCAGCAACATTCCCCCCAACAGAAGTGTAATTCGGTCCTTGAATGCCATGAATCCGGGCATTGTTTTCGCCTCTTTGTGGATGTATGTCCGCTCAGGCTTGCGCTTCCACAATAATCCAGTTTCATCCACACTGAATATTTTCTCAGGCAAATAATTTCCTTCCACAATCACACACTCTAGCTCCTCCTTAAAAGCTTCGGCAGCACCAACATCAGCACTAGCTGCCTCCATTCACCTTAACATAATGCTAGCGGTTCTTAAATCTGTTAAACCACCCATGACTTGCTGTGAAGGTTTGGTCGCACTCATCTCCTGCCTGCTCCTTCAGGCTTTCGAAAAGGCTTCTTGCCTTAACCTGTAAGGTTAGAAGGTTTAAGGGTACACGCCTCTGTATTTGGTCTTCCATCCATATCACCAATAATTTTTCCATCTCGTGAATTGGACCTTGTCTTTTCTTCGTAATTATAGTTCCCTTTATAGGTGCTGATCCTTTCACTACATCACATATATGTTCCTAGTCCTTCAGAATAGTGGATATGGTCGCTTGAAATTGTTGCTTTAGTTTTTCCCTTTTCATACTGCTTTACAGTGGTCCCTCGGTTAACGAACACAATTCATTCCAGATGGTCGTTCGTTAACCGAAACCATTGTTTCAAGGGGATTTTGGGTAATTGATTCCAGCTTACCGAAAATTACATACAAACTAAAAATAAATGCAGTAAAGTACAGTTACTTTGAGGTGTGTATGTACACTAGAAGGCTCCTGGTTGATGATGATGATGATGGGAATTAGAAGTGGGGGTGGAGGAGAGGGGAGAAGAGAAGGAAGTGGGGGTGGAAGAGAAATCACCCCATGCTTCATGCTGTCATTTCACCCATAAAATTTTAAGTTCACTAGGTGTAATTCAAGATTATTTTCTTTAAATCAACACCGCACTGCACTACTTATTGTCAATGTGTAAAATAAATTTCAGAATGACCAATAATTGTACTGTAAAAACGTAAAAATAGTTTATGTTCAAGAGAGTCACAAGCAAGATGTTACTTCCACTGACCAGAGATACAAACTGACGCCTGTTTGGTGAGTTGAGTGGCTGTTTGGCGCACCAAAAACTAGTTTCCTGTACTGCAATTATGTTAAATAATTGTTAAAATGACTAAAAATTTTAATATAAAACTTGGAAAATTATTTAATAGTAAAACCTTCTTGATATTTACTCAAATGGGAACGAATTTAAGCCATAGAACCGAATAAGATTACTGTATTGGCGGACTAATATTCCAGTTGGTGAGCAAGCGAAAACATGTTGACACTATTTCGTAAAAATTTCGTTAACCGAATTTAATATTCTTATGGAAGGTAATTCGTTTACCGAAATTTCATAAACCGAGGCGTTCGTTAACTGAGTGATCACTGTATTATCTTCATTTTCGTCTTAAAAGTAATTGACTGTATCCTTTTCTTATGAGCACCACCAGCACTCTCACTTCTACTCTTTCCAGTCATTATAAAGTGAATTAAATACGAAAATAATGTCAGTACACAGCGCGATCAGTATAGGATACGACAGCCAAAAACCAACTAAGCGCTCTACTGCGTGTGAGCTGTACCCACGCGGTGACCCAAGCCACGCTCTCATACGGAACGGAAACGTTTCGGTATAGAAAATGATTGTGCGTGCATGTAACAGAGTAAAAAAAAAAAAAGGATGTCTACCCGAAATTACGAGTTTAAAAATATCCACTATGAGCGCTAACTCTGGCTCTTCTGGGGTTCAGAAACGGAACCTATTTTTCCCCATAACTTATTAAGATCAGTATACGATTGATTACCTTACAATGGCTTTTCAATATCCCTACCCGCATTGTATAGAGGCCATCATCGGTATGTTATAATGACACCATTGCAATCTGATTTGTTGAAAGTTCTCTTTCCAGGAACACATCCTGAGCTCTCAAGGGGTCGTACTATACATGTTGGAATGCAAATACTGTACCTCTAATTATTGTCATTAATTCATATGGGGAAAAACTCTTCATAAAACATATCACTGTACTGTATGTAAGTCACATATTTCTGGAACACATCCCTGACATATAATGAAGATCCCCCCTGTACATATTAATATTTAACAAGAAATGCATCCATTAATGAATGGATATTCTTTTTTCAGGGCTTCCCTGTGGATGCATCTTTCTTACATGCAGCCCTACAAGAACTTGAAGCTTTAGCTGAAGATTCTCCTAGTGAGGGTAATGGAGGAGCTGCTACACGTGGTTATGATGCCCTGTACCTTAAGGACATTACCTACCCTGATGGCTCTGAAGTAGCTCCTGGAAAGGAATTTGTGAAAACCTGGCGGGTAATCAACTCAGGAGTGATGCCTTGGAATGACAAGGTAAGAAGTACTGTATATTGAATCTTTCACATCACATTGATGAGCAAGTGCTTGTCTTTGTCATGGATGGAATAGTGAATATTCAGGCTGTGTTATGGTTAGTTTTGTGTGGCACTACTGCTGATTGGGTAACAGTTCAGGATAGACATGCACACATAGCAGGGTCTGCAACAAAAATATCTAGAATAAAATTTCAAAGAAAGGGGCTACATCACTTAAAGCAGGCATGGGCAACCTTTCCTCAGTTATGGGCCGCATTACGATTTCAGTAGGTATTTTTCTGTGGGTCAATCTACCAAAATTTATATCCTACCTGACCCAAAAGTAATGTTTATACTGTATTGTATTAGCACAGACAGTGAATCAGGTTATTGTCACGTCCAACTTACGATATTTTCAGTTTACAGCAGTCTTTTTCCCATTTATGAAACAAATTCATCATAATAAACTTTTAAGTAAAATGTTAGTTTCTTGGTATTTAACATAAGATGAGTGAAGCAGTTTGTGAATACGTTGATTTTTCCTACAGTTACAGCATTGTTCTTACCTATGAGAGACACCCACCAGAATAATGTCAATGTTAATCTTGGTGCATAAAGAACTACATACATACATACATACATACATACATACATACATACATACATACATACATACATACATACATACATACATACATACAGTACATACATACATACATACATACATACATACATACATACATACATACATACATATTTAACATACATACATACATACATACATACATACATACATACATACATATTTAACATACATACATACATATATACATATATATACAGTAGGGTCGGGAATATCGTGAGATAGGGTCCAAGGATGCTCGCTATACAGGGGGTATACTAAATCGAGATACCGTATATCTCGGCTTATAAGACGGAATTTGAACATTAAAAAAATCTGCCCAAAGTTA